GAATATTCTATGAGGATTGTTCCTTAGTGATGTAACATTTTATTTTGATAATTAGAATGTTAATGCTGAGCTACAAGTGCAGATTGGCGACTTTTATTCGTTTTTAGAAATGAGCAATCATGTGATAGTTCTTGTCTAGGTTGTCGCAAAAATTCTTCCTGAGAAAGATATTTTAACTGTGAAAAATTAGGTTGGACAGTGGTACGAATGCTATCCTAAGTTTGCTATAATGCATCCCCGTTGGAGCTGACAACGCGGCCATTTAAAACAGAGTAGCTTATGCCATGGACAATTAGCCTGTTATCTCTTTGTTTGGAAACAGTTCCCTTACTCATGAGTTCCTTTCGCTTGCTAATTAGCAATATCCTTTGATCTCTAATAGTTGGAGGGTAATCTTTATTTACGAATATTTTTTTGTCCCTGAGTCTGAAAGCGTTCCGAAAAAGCAGAAGACTTTGCTTGAAATCAGGCACCTCAATAAGCAGCGGCGAATTAGATTTTTCTGTCAATCTTCGGCACTGTTCTATCCTAAGATCTTCAGAAATTTGCATCGTGTTTGAAATTAGATCTTGGATCAAACCTCGAGATTCTTCAGGGGTTTCACCTTCTGCTCCTTCAATTCCATAAATAATCAAGTTCCTTTACCTCTTCCTCATCTCTTCAAGCTCCAAATGTCTCTCGAGATCAGATATTCTATTTGTATTAAGCGAGACAGCTTTAGAAGTGGCTTCCAATGATGACTCGAAGTGTTGTAGGCGCTGATTTATTTTGTCCAATCCTTGTTCTACCGAATCAAGTCTAGTCTCCATTTTTTTACCAAAGTCATCTATCTTAGTTGAAAGTGCTAAAATTAGATCATGCAAATCTTTATATTTGCCCACATCTAATGTTGTTTGTCTTGTCTGTTTGGGGCCAGGATTTGATTCAATACCTGACATTATCAGCAGCATTAAAATAATACATCGACGAGTTCCCTTTCCAGCATGAGTAAAAGAGATAGCCTTGAAATTATTTTCATAATAAACAAAAGTTTTAGCGCGAAAATTTACATATCTAGTGATCACAGCAGCTTCTCTAGCAAAAAAAGAAGATATTAATTATAGAAATAAATAAAATCAGCTTCATGATCTTCGTAGAGAATATATAAACTATAGGCCAACGGCAGGATACTCACAAGAAGGCGTAACCCAAGTAGAAGCACAAAAAAGCAAATTATAAGTTTAAAATATTTACTTATCGTGAGCCGAAGAATTTCGCGACCGGTCAACTTGGCCACCTAGCGGAGAATCCGATAAAAGAAAATCCACGAATAGGGTTACGAGACATTGTAAAAGAAACAGGGATATCAAAATCATTAGTTGGATCGATAATTAAAGAAGACTTGCAGTTAAAGAAGACACCTTCAAAATTTGTCCCTAAAATGCTCACAATCCAACAAAAGGAGAATCGTGTTGAAGTTGTCAAAAAATGCTTGAAATGGTGGAAGAAAACCCTGATTGGAAGGAAAAAGTAATAACTGGAGACGAGACATGGGTTTACGGGTATGACCCGGAAACAAAACGCCAACCCATGGAGTGGAAAGGAAAAAATGAACCAAGAACGAAGAAATCCCGACTTTGCAAGTCAAAAAACAAAGTCTTATTGGTCACGTTCTTTGACATAAAGGGAATTGTGCATTATGAATATCTAGAGGAAGGTCAAACAATCAATAAGGAGTCTTATTTAAACATTATGAGACGTGTACGTGAATCAATTTGTCTGAAAAGAAGTGAAATGTGGAGTTCCAAAAATTGGATTATCCATCATGATAATGCACCACCACACACCGCTACATCTGTACTGACTTATTAGGCTAAACACGGCATCCAAATACTTCAACAACCTCCCTATTTCCCAGACCTAGCTCCAAATGATTTTTTTTCTCTTTCCAAAACTCAAAATGGCTTTAAAAGGAAGGAGATTTACACTAGAGAGTCCATCATAGCAGATTCGAAAAAGGTCTTGAAGAACATCCCGAAAGATGCCTTTTCTAAATGTTTCAAATCATGGGAGAAGATATGGAAATTATGTATAGATGCGGGAGGGGACTATTTTGAAAAATACTAATAAAATATTTTTTAATCATTCTATTTTTTCTTTATTTTTGACCAGTCTCATTATTTATTGGACACACCTTGTTTAATAGAATTTTTGAGTGAAAATTTTCAAATCCAGGGAGGTGTCTTTCAAAAATTCAATTTAATTAACTGGAGTTATTGAAGAAGTTCTCGAGTTAATTAAAAAATATATTTTTACACACAAGACACACTTCACCCTGGATGGATTTTTTTTTCGTTTGAACTAATTATTTCTTTTAATTTACGGAAATCTACAAAATTCTTTCAACTTTTTTTAAAATCTTTAGTTATAAGGGTGATTGGGTTTAGCATAATTTTAACTGGGGTAGTTTCAATTTAGCTTCAAATTTGTTGATAGAAAAATATTGTGATATATATCACACACAATTATATCTTAGATAATAAAAAGGCATATATTGGATTGAATAAGAGATTTATTTGACAATATTTCCGTTGGCTGAACGCCAACCTTTATATCAAGGCCTTATAATATAACTTTGACAAAGGTTAGCGTTCAGCCAACTGAAATATTGGCAAATAAATCTCTTATTCAATTCAATATTTTATTTTTATTATCTAATGATTTAAATATGGATTGCTCTATTTTCAAAACAATTATATATATTTAGAAAGTTTGAGGAAATATTGAAATTTAAACAAGACTAAGAGAAAGATAGGTATTTGACATACATGAGTATTATTATCAAAAATGTATACATAAAATAAATTAATTTGACCATATCTAAACCTTTTTTGGAGTCTCGAGGTTATAAGTAGAGAGTGTGTTGTATGAAAGAGACAAGTATATTAACGACAATGCCCGCCTAGAAGTATCATGCGGTGATGTTGCTAGCTTGTAGCCACTCTGTTGGAAGATACTCCCCGTAGTTCCACGAGCGATAAATGGTGCACATTACGTGACAAGGAAGCATCGTTTTGAGAGACCAAACGTTACAATATTTTTTAAAATATAGAATTGCTTAATATTGTAAATGATAATTTGGATTCTATAAAATAAAAAATTGTAGGACATGTAGGATAAAATTAAGTGCTGTTATAAGCATTTTTAATTTTATAAATTGATGCTATAAAAAGTGTTGCACTCAAAATTTACCCATGAGTGATAAATACTAGTAGATGCAGCGTGGATACGAGCAGATTGCAAATTGATAAATTATGTTATGTGAGTTAAGTGCACCTTTCTTGCAATGTAGTTTCTCTGCTAAATACTTACTTCTTTCTCATCTTGTGAATTTATTAGCCAGAACTCGACGTGGAGCGAATTCAATGGCGTGAAACGAGAGAACTGAAGACAGAGTGTGTTTTGCTTCAACCATCGAGATGAAATATATCGATGTTATAAATGGTTTAGTGCCACAAATATGTACACAAATAGAGAGCAGCCATTTTGGGATAGCTTTATTATATCATATATGATTCCAATGAGATCGATATATTTTGTACAAAAATGACAAGTAGCATTATTATTGAAAAATACCAAATAAAATTCAAATCGTCTACGTAAAACAAAATGTCGTGGCTTGTTATGTACAGTTGTCCTAGGCCATGACAGTGGTGGCTCCGTCCTTAATGGTCCAGGCCAGAAGGCAGTGGTAGATGAGCATATACTCGGGCTACACACATCAATATTGTAGCGGAGATAAATAAAGCAAGGGCAAATTTGGGAATAATTAATTTATTATAAAGAATATTTACCTTTTATTTCTCCAATAAAATTATATAGAAGAGGTATTTATAAGGAGAGAGAGTCAGATAATATAACAATTTATCTCAAGGTAAAAATAATAATAACACGAGTGTTCAGCCACCGAGGCGTCTTTATTTGCCGATAAGATTCTGAGAACCCCTCACACCTGTGGTCGTCCCCCCGGAGCCCAGTGATGATTGACAGGTGTCCCATTGTAGAACTACTTGACTATATAATAATGACAAAAATGATATCTTAATCAAACAAATAAACGTGGTTCATGACCACTGTCATTCTATGAAATAAATGTCGAATAAACGTAGATATTTTTGAATTTCTATATCTCGGGCAAAAACATTTTCTTGATGGATCAAGAAGTCTCTAAAACTGCCTTATTGGGTCTTTGAGGTACAGTCTGCGCCAAACTGATAAAGGACAACAACAGCGTTAAACGTGTACATAGATGACTCTTTTTATCCATTAATTTTTTTTTAGACATTATGCAGGAGAGAAAACAATCAATTTAAAAATATATATATTCCGAGAGATGGCTAACAGCAACGTTTAGTTGTATGATCAGATAATACAATACAAACAGATGGTGAGATGTACAGACCAGGGAATGTACGAGGCTTCCCCGCTGGAGCCGCAGCTGGTTTACGCACTGGTACACCGCGGCCACAGCCTCCCGCTCCAGCTGGCGGGTCTGCCACTCCACAGCCAGGAAGACGCCGGTCCGTCCGCCGCCGCTGTACACACAGCCAGTCAGTCTCAGACCTCCCTGTCACAGATAGCTTCCCCTTCTGCAGATCGATTTGAAAGTCCTTAAAATTCGTCGGGATGGACAGTGCCAAGAGTGGATGCTCTCATTTTGTGTGTGCTGGATTAGATAGCTGTGAAAGGACTAAATATCTTTTCGCGGCAACACTATTCAACAATATTTAATTATATATTTTATATTAGTTTATTTATTTACCCCCTTTTATAGATGTAAGCACAAAACAATTTTCAGAGCACCAATTTATTATTATCATTATTATTATATCATCATCATGAGCTAAAACCTTCATTAAAATATACAAGTATCAGAGTCATAATCAACAATCAATCAATAATTCTGTCACCGTTTGCTTTTATGAATAGAATAAATACCCAAATATGGCCGTTTCATATAAGCATCAGTGTGGTTCAGTGGTAGAATGCTTGCCTGACACGCGGGCGGGCCGGGTTCGATTCCCGGCCGATGCATTTTTTTTTTACAATTTTTAAAACTCATTTATATTATTATTATTAAAATAACAAGTATCAGAGTCATCAATTCTGTCATCGTTTGCTTTTGTGAATGGAATGCTTTTACATAATATACGTAAAATACGTAACTAATATGACTGAAATTTTAGAAGTATGTATAGTAGAATCTGGAAAAACTTATATTGAATATTTCAGGTCTCTATCCCGAATATTCTTCGAGTTATTTGCAAATTTGAGTTTCAAATTTGCTCTTTCGCTCGCAAGCAGCGCCTCTAGCGGTAAAGATGGGAGGTAATATCAGCTGACCTAATGTACATGTGAAACGTGTTTTAACAGGACATAAAAAAAATATGGAAAATATATTTTTCGCATTTTTAGCCAAGAAAAATTGAAATTGACAGGTTCTGGGCAAAAATAGTTGGGTTTTTTTTTGTCAGAAAATGATTATGACAGTATTGCTGTATCATATTTGATTATCAGATACAAAATTATATTCGGGATAATATTCCAAAAAGCAAAGACCACGGGTGAAGCCAGTTCATTTTTAGTATGCAGGAACAAAATTCTAACAGAAAAACATTCATTCGAGCAGAAGACACAAAGCCAGATCATCTCTTTATAAAAATATCGCTTCTCAGACACAAAGTTTGGAGCGGGACGTTTCACAAGAATGACATCCACGGCGCCAATTTATAATTGTAACGAATATTATTTAAATAAAAGCATTTAATCGGGTAAAACCTGGGCGTTGCCCGGGTCATTCGGCTAGTATATATATATATGCACAAACCTGAATTTAAAAAGTCCTTAATAAAAATAAAAAGGTTTATTCGATGAATTTATATACATTAATATCTTTGATTAAAATGTGTTATAAAAATAACAATAAAAAACAATACTCAGCTTCGAACTTAGGTTGTGGAGAAAAGCCTATCGTTATGTCACGTTTGAATATAAATAAAATCAATTATAAAGTTATTTCAGGCCTTATATTTTACGTAAAAGGCGTTTTTAGAATTTTTTTTTTCAAAAAAATTTTCAATCCTTATTAATTTTATATTAAAATATTTTGAAGTATATTTTAACACCTTTTTTTTTTGGAAAAATTTATCAATAATTACCCGAGTAAAGGTTTGTCTAACGAATTTCTCGATAAAGTGAACATTTTTTCCCGGTCCCTTGAAAAATACTCGATAAGTTGAATAAAATCAATATTAATTGGTTCCCTCGGTAATTGGAAGTTAAAGGAATAGTATCTTGCCTTGGAATTGTATCATTATTCTTGTCTCAAATAAATTGCCGTGTCATCCTGAATTTTGTCTTTCCTAATTTACTACATTACAAAATCATCGTATCATCATGATAATATTTAGAGAAGATTGTTGAATTATAACAGATAAATTAGAATATTTATCTTGATTATTTTAAAGCGAAAAGTTATTTCAAAAATTTTATTTGCTAGAAACCTTCCCAGTACTATACTAAATAACTTCCCAAAGTTTCATGGCGTTCCAATGAGTGGTTTGGTCAGGCATAAAGGACAAACAGACCACACACACACACACACATACATTCATTTATATATATATAGAAATGTGATTTCAACAAACGCCCCCCCCCCCCCCCCCGGGGGGTGGAAAATAATTCTAAAATGTCATGGGTAGCGCTGGTTCGAGTTAAATTGGCGCGTAGATGAACAAATTTGTAATTAAAATTACGATGCAAAGTTTTTTATAAAAATAATCAATCTATAACGTTTCCCAGGGTCAGAAGGTGTGACATGTAAAATATGGTGATATTTAATCCAGTAGTTTTGGAGTATATCGATAGACAGACAGACGGATAAATTTTGATTATATAACATAGAGTTAGCGCCTCAACAACGCCTTATTATAAGATCCCACATCATCGATGTAAACCTTAATTTGTCCAACTGTTTTCCAGAAAATTCACGACATTATTTTACTAGCAGCATCACGTGGTTCGGTATTATATACTGAGGAAACCTCTCATGAAATATCGACCTATCTCAATCGAGACATTTTTTAAAATTCAGAGATAACTTAAATAACCCCCAACCTCCAATAGGAGATTATATCTGGTGGAGAGTATGTTTGTATGCAAGGAGTATTTACATGATTCGCCGCTAGGAGGCCAAATTGGATGGACGCACGGTCGCCTCGCTCTGCAGCTAAGTATCAATTTTTAATTCTAATTCTATTTTGATAACTTTTTCCTATCTTATCTTACTTACCGTAAGCAGCAATTCATATCTAATTGCAATTGTTATTGTGATTGCCAAAAGATTTGGCTGAGAAATTTAAAATCAAAATTCTTCGAAAGGAAATTTGCATACTTTCTAACCGTTTTTATTGTTATTTCTATGGTAACATGCAAAAATGAAAATGAGTTTACCCAGATTAAATACACTGAATTTATAAACAAAATTTACATTAAGTATCCTTGCGTACATGTCCGTTATCCCATGGCACTGCTTAAGCACTCCTATGCCTACCTAATAAAAGTAATTGCCGTTCTTGTGGTTATTGGTGGCGTCGAACTCAACCCTGGACCTCCAACTAAGAAATAAACAACCCTACTTTCAACACAATCGCCCAGGCAGAAAGAGTCAGGTGATGAAGACTTAAAAACCCTTATTAAACAAATGGATTTAGATTTAAAAGACTTGGGTGAAATACTTAAATTCCAGATTACAAAGTATTGAACAAAAGATGGTGGATTGGGACCAGAGACTCGGTGCCGTTTAGACGTCCTTAAAAAAAATGAATGGAAGCGGTTACCGCAACGATGCTAGGGTACTGAGATTTGGGAACATGTCGAATCAATGGAGAGAAAGCTCAGGGAAAACAACCTCGTAATATACGGATTAAATGGAACTGAAAATGAAAACGCTGATGAGACTCTGACAAAAGTCACTAAAATAATAAAGGAAAATTGCTAATTACAGAGGAATTGGAGATAACACGCTGCCACCGTCTCTCAAGAAGACCTAGTGCCTTTGTCATAGTCGAAATACCGAAGCAAACGATTAGAACAAAAATATTCAGGAACTCAGGCAGACTCAGGGATGATAGGATTTTCATAAGCAAGGACTATAGCCCTAAAATCCGAAATCAAAAGCGCATCTTGAATGCCAAAAGGAAAGAACTGTCAGAGAGGGGTACTAAAGCGAAACTGAGGGATGATAGGCTGCTTGTAAACGGTGTCAGTTACCAGATAAAAAACGGCCAGGTAGTTGATGCCACCGTAATATCCATATAGCAAACTCCTGAAAATTTGAATATCGGGCTGCACGCAAATAGAACTGGTAACTATATATGTAGATCTTTATCTAAAAATGTTTCCAAACAGTTTCCTGCTAGGAATGCGACAATTAGATTACTACACTGGAATATTAACGGATACCAGAGAATTATATCGCTATTTTCACTCATAGACTACTTTAAAAAATTCGAAATGTTTGCAATTACTGAAACATGGCTTATAGAAGAAACCAAAATTTTGACAGAGGATTACCATATTATACAACTCCCAGCAATTAAGACAGAAATAAAGGGAAGAGCTTCCGGAGGAATTATAGTAGGGCTTAGGAAAAATTTACAATTAACAATTAAAAAAACAGAGGTAGGTTCCTGTTAGATAACAATGATTATAAATAAATTAATCGATGGGTCTGATGTGAATACGTGTCTGCTTTTTACATACCTACCCCCCAATGCATCACATGAACAAAATGTAACTAAATTGATAAATCAGATTGCATACCAAATAAAAGAGTGCAACGAAGTCGTGATTGCTGGTGACATAAATATAAGAACAGGAAACAGGGGCAGTCTGCACAACCCATTACAATTGGAAACAACCCTAAATAAGCACAGACATTCCAAGGACCAAATAATTTCTCCATTATCAGAAAGACGCATTGCCTTCAATGATTCAAACTCAATAACAATAGCAAATGGAATAACAAAAGGAGACACAGAAGGTTCATTTACCTTTGTGTCAGATAGAGGTTCATCAGCCTCCGACTACTTTATGTTCAAACAAAGCCTAATAGAGAACTTATCTGATATGTGGATAGAAGAACTCCCCTATTCTGACCATCTACCAATAATCTTAGAACTAAATACAGATCATAAACAGAAGTAATCAACACAAAAAAAAACGTGACACCATTTAGAAAAAAACGACTGGTCTCAAAATGAAGAACTACTAAAACGAAATCTGAATGCACTAGAAGAAATATATGACATCGCTACAGATATTGATACAATGACTGCAAATTTCACGGAGAAAAATTTCAAGGCAATGGAACTATCAATTATTATCAAAATAGTAAACAAATACAACACAATATCTAAGCCCTGGTACGATAGGGAATGCTATCAAATGAAAAACACAACTAAATCAAGTTTAAAGAAATAAACTAATTCAGCCGAAGAACAGGACCGGAAAAAATACATAGAAGATAGGAAGAAATACTTAAAATTGCTAAAAACAAAAAGAGATAATTTAATGAAGACAAAATAAAAAATACTAGAGATCCGAAATCTTTCTGGAGCGCTCTATCTATTCTCAGAAAAAAAGTAACCCCTTCAGCTGATATAGATATTGCAATGTTTCCACAGATAAGACTTGAAAATAGAATATATTTTTTAATGACAAGAAACAAAGTTTAAACACACACACACACACACACACACAATTCCATATTAGAAAACTAATCAACTGCTAAAACAAACAAACACTACATATATGCATATATACACAATTATCATCATCAACTCTGTGACAACAAATAAATAAAAACAAATATTAAATTAATTCGCCAATACATCACACCATCTTCCTCCTACAAGCCTTGATATCGCACAGGAGGTCTCCGATCCCTTGGAGGGTTTCTTCTTGGCAGTGGCCTCTCCTCTGTCCGGGCTACCTTGTCTGAGGAACACGCAGATTCCCTTGGGCTGCTTCCA